TACTACAGAATTCAGAACACACAAACACTTGCCAGAATAGTCATGGGTATGCACATTGCACTTCAAGCAGGCTGGTGTTTAATGTGCATTTAATAATTCCCGACAGATACAAAATGGGCTCTGCAGTGTATCATCTCACCATTCCCACCCCACAATCCCCCACAGAGTAGCTGTGTTGCTGTAATTTCCCTTCTTGACGATTTAACAGAACCCGGCTTGACTTTTAAATCTACCATCACATAACTAAAGTAAAAAACAAAACCAGCATAGCTTAAGTGTCATAGTGTGTTTCCTGTTACTCTTTATAAAAAAAAAAATAATTTAAATAAACTACCCATCTATAGCTATCAGTCTCCTTACCTAATTTCAGCCTTAATCAGACTCCTAAACAATGACATCAGCCTTCTGATCACAATTGTATAAACAAATGAGAATTTCACTCCAATTAAAACAAATACTAATTCTTTGAACTGATGAGAAAAACACACCGCATCCATAATGTATATTTTCATGCTTCAGCCTTTTACAGTCTTTGTGGCCATGTATGTTATCAAGTTATTTAAATGAAATCATACCTTGATGAGGAATTAAAGATTACAGAGATGACTTAATGTACATGCTCTTAGAGATTACTGCATCTTCAGTGTTATTTGGTTGCATGGACCCTTCTATCTAACTTATAATGAAGTTTTACAAAGTCATAATAAAACACACCACAAGGTCTGTTACCGAACCAAAACAGATCTTTTTTCCATAAAGTTCACATAACAGGTTTCAACCCACTTTACAAACTTAACCAAAATTTAAAGTGTTTATTAAACTATTTTGTCTTAAAATGTTGATGAACAATGCTTTTATATTTTAAATACTGACACACAAATGTTTATCCCTAGAGACATCAACAAGAAAACAAATCTCCAGTGCTGTCAGCTGGGATCACAGAAATACATACCTGCTGGTCTGCTTGGTATTTAAAGTTCTCTCAGTGATTCACAAGGCCAGTGACTCTGATCATTTTAAATCCTTTCCTCAGAAATAATGGCCCATATACAGAAAAACTTAAATTGCTAACCTCTGCCTTCCTCCTCGAGACACTGTTCTCTAAACTCTGCTTTGCTAAATTACAAAAATCCACCTACAACCAGATCTGCTCATGCTAATGAAAAGGGGGTGCTTTCTGAACAATAGGAGAATTCCTCTGCTATTTAGAATGCAGTGCTCCCATTAGAACAAAGAATCAGAAATGCCAGTTTTACCTCTGTTTTTTAATTGAGATTGTCCCAGCCCTCTTCTGCAGTCCAGTGAGACAGTGTTTGTGAAATGATTAAAAAGAACGTGATCTGATCAAGAGGATAGAATAATGGGAAAGGAATGTTAGGTTAGCCACAGTGCTAAGTGCTGGGAAAGAAGACCAAGAAGCTTCTTAGCCTATTGTTTTTATTCCCATCTGCTCTTTAGCCATCTCATAACACTTTGAAACTTTATTTATGCTGTGTAAAAAATGGGTTAAAAGTTGCCCACTTACAACAGAATTTGGTAACAAGTTAAAAAAAAATCTTAAAAAAAAAAAAAGAAAATAAATAAAAATCCTTGAATTATATCAAGTTTCCAAAAGGTCATCACTGTCTCTGCTGTGGCCTTTTCCCCATACCAAATCCTCTATCAATATGTCATAGTGAGTTAGGCAAAGACAAAAGAGAGGCTCAGTGTGAAAACTGCACATATATCTAATCCTGACAAAGCAATGAATAGGCCTTCACAAGTATAATTATACTTGTTTATTTGTTGCCACGTACAGAGGACTGATGAAAAAATCCATCAAAGTGGTATTATGCAGACACCAAGAGCTTCTTTTCTTTGGTTGCTAAAGCCACATTGAGGCTTAAATTCCTTATTGTTAAAATCAGAAGAAAGAAAGAAGGAAAAAAAGATTTTGGTTGGACTTTTTTTGCATCAATTGCTGACAGATCCTTTGTGTATAGCGCTGTATTATTAGCTGTATTAGCTAGAGACTTGCTCACACTGCTACTTCATTTTAGCCCATGCTGGAATCCATAATTATAAACTACTGTACACGCTACCTTTTAAACTGGGTGTGGTAGGAATTTAGCTGACCATGAGCTGAACAGATTTTAAACTGCCCATTTTCTCACAGTCACTCATTTTAGATAACCAAATACAGGTAAACTACCTGTACAAAAGAGTCTTATAATCACATTTTTTCTTATGCTTTTATCTGGGGGAAAATAGGATGTGGGCTTAAATAGCACAGAGGTGTCTTTCACTTCAACCTGTTTCATTTAAAGGATACTTAATATTGTAGGCTGCTGTATGCAAAGACATCTATACATCTGTCAGAAACTTGGTTCCAGTGTAGCAAAGCAACAAAAAACAAAACACAACCCTCCCCCCCCCCAAAAAAAACACCCCACCAAACCAAACAACAAAAACCTTAAGAAATTATAAGAGTTGAGGCAAAAGCACAGAATTGTGGGGGTGG